CTTGTATAGCATCACAGAGAGACATATATATACCTACACGCGCAATTTCCAGGGGCAATCCGCAGACCAACACACACTCATCGGTGAATGGAACAGAACTGGGTCTGATGATGTTGCGCAATCTTCTGCGCAGTAGCGGCACATCGGAGCGAGAAAGAACGAAAAGAGAGAACCCCCCGCAGCAACACACACACACACACACACACACACACACACACACACGGAGAGGAGGAGGACGACCTCGAAGGATCGACATTTCCCGGGGGTTGGTGGGTATCTCTCGAAAATCCGCACCCGACGGATAATCGCTCGCTCGCTCCGGGCACCTACACACACACATATATATATATCTAGGTTGCAAAATAAATCCACCCTCCTCCGCCAACCTCCCTTTTGGGTGGGCATGCGCGAGCTCGCCCGGGATTTTTTTTTTTACCCTGCCCTTTTTTCCGTCTTCCCCTACCCAACACACACGCACACCAGCCACGTCGTATTTATTTCCGCGAAGGCCCGGAACCCGCACGGGTGTTGCATGGAAAATGCGAGTTGCACGATTTATTGGATTTTTCACGGGTTCCCCCCCCCCCATATTTGCACTACTAATGAAAAATAATATTGATTTAAAAGTGGGGGGGAGACCAAGCGCTTCGATATGAAATTAATATTTTTAGATAGAAGGCACGTGGTGTACTGTGTAATCATATGAAAAACGAAAGATCAAGGAACAGCTGTATAACAAATAATATTTGATGTACGGTTACAGACGCATCAGGATTCGTCGAATTTTTCACCGAGAGCCTGTTTCCCAAGAGTCCCCCGGTCGGTTGATGAACGAGCTCCGAATGCACTTGAATCTTCTGGGGATGCACGCCGAGTGACTCATCGGCCGCTGCTGATGCTGCTGTTGATCAAGAAGAAGAAGAAGAAGAAGAAGAAGAAAAAAAAAAAACCAACCATCACCTTGAAGAAAGTATAGCCGGCAATTACGGCGAATGTAGTGCAAAGCGGATATGTATGTGTGTAACCTGAGATGTACTGTTTGACTGACTGACACGTGTGCGTGGAGGGGAGCCGAGAGGATGGAAAAAAAAAGGAGAGCGAAGATGTGGGCATTGACCGTCTCCTCTCCCTCTTCCCACCGCCCCGCTGATTACAGATTCAGCAGAAGTGGTCGTGTATGTGGTGGTAATGGTAGTAGTAGTAGTAGTATAAGTAGGTAGCAGCAGAAATAGGAGACGCATGCAGAGATGCCTCGGAATCCAAACACGGAGACGTCTCGCGCTTATACGTACATATATAGTATACCTACTCCGTCGCTCCGTGAGCCGGGGTGACATTAAAGCGGAACTGTCATAGCCGCGACGTGTCTTTCTCCCCCTCCCCCTACTTTCTCTCTTGTTATCTTTTTTCTTTCTCTTTACTATACTGCAGCGTGCAATATGTAACATGACAAAAACTCTTGGGAAGAAGGGCGTGCACGTGTAAACGTTGATTCACCGATGATTGTTGGGATAACTTTTTCTTTTTTTTTTTTTTTTGAATACAGATCGAACTATTTTCAACGAAAGATAAAATGTCAATGTCTACCCATTGAGTATTGAAACCAGTTATATGGTGTTTGGAGGAAAGTATATTAGGAAAATACAGCAACAAGTTTGACAATAGATTAAGCTGTACGTTGGGATAACTTTTTTTTTTTTTTTTTTTTTTTTTTTTCGTCCATCACCGCTGCAAACGCAAAATCGATGATCATTTTGTATAACCATAACACGTATTAGTACAAACATCGGAGTTTCGCGAAACCCCCGTACATGCACGCGTGAGAGCGCAAGTGCATTCATCATTTCGTCTAATTGTCACGTGCGTTGGCTCGCTTTGAAATGTAAATTGGATTATACTCTGGCGGCGGCTTTCGTGTGCAACAACCTCGAATGAGAACATCATTTTTACGAAACATGCACATCAGCAAACAAAATTATTTTTAATCAACGACGAGAGATGTGTGACGATTTCACGGGGGGGATGACAATGGCTGGTACTCGCGTCGCGGATAACGTAACGCGGATTAAAGCGCGCGCACGCGTAGATATACTGATCATCCAACCGCACGTACAGGTGGAGCCTAAAATAATGTCGCTGCCCTTTGCTTCTTTTTTTTTTTTTTATTGTTTCTTCTACTGTACATTGTGCATATCGTGTGTGTTTAGGTGGATGGATTATAGGTAATGTAGCATTATATACATATACTGCATACACGCGTGTTCGCTAAAAAGCAGTGAATCAGCCAATGTGCCCTATATACGTGCGGGTATACTCGCGTGAACCAACATCGTAACTCGAGGAAAAAAAAAAAAAAAAAAAGAGCTCAATATCAGCGGGGAAAAAAAGGAAATTACAAGGGCGTTTCGCATTTTCTCTCATCGCCAGCAGGCTCGCTTACGTATACAATAATTTCCTCGCCCGCGTTATTGAACTTCCCCACTCCACTTGTTTTTTTTATTTTTCGTCGTTATCGCGAACGCGCCTCTCGTTACGTGTTTACGAGGACAGGGGATTTTTTCTCTCTTTTTCTCGAGGTACGGGTTAATCATTTCGCCGATAGACATCTAATCTCGAAGTTTTTAATTGCTCGTTTGGAGGGGCCGAACTTAATGGGGGTATTTTTAATTTAAATTAAATACCCACTCCAGGGGGCGGGAAACGTTAATTTCCTAATATAAAAAAAAAGAAGTAAGTTAAGCGACCCTACTCAAGAGAGAGATATATCGTAACGAGCCTGCTCTCGTTTCAGGAATCACCGCGATTTTTCAGTGTACCTGTACACTAGTATAACCCAGTATAAGTACACCAATAACCCATATACCCATACAAATTTAAACTAATACATGCGACCTGATCATCACTTTACTTAGTTTGTTTTTATTTTTGTTCTTCACTTTTAGTTTTTATTTAATTCGTACCTTTATTTTTTGATTTCATTTTTATTTCTCAAATTTTTCAAATGCCAATCTATTTTTGTAAATGTCAATTTATTTTTATAATTAATTTGCATATTTTTGTATTTTGTATTTTATATATTATACTCTGTAATACTAAAATTTGAGAACAAACGTGGTTATACCACATGGTCTAATAAATGTACTTACTTACTTACCAGAGCGCGCGCGTAACGGGGTTTAATCACCCTTTATTACGGGAAATGCAAAAATGATCCCGCGATTTGCGCGCACACGCGCGCTATGTAGTAGTCGATTTTTCGGGTTAAATCTTTTTTTTTCTTCTCCATCGCGAGGATTCTTTGAAACGAAAAGCAAACTCCGTGGAAATCAAAACAGCAACGGCCCGAAACCGTCTAAACCTCGACTGAGAAACAAAAAAAGGAGAAGAAGAAGAAGGGGGGAGAACGAGAAAAAAAAAAAAAAAAAAACTCATCACCCAAGCATTGACCTCGATACTAAAAAAACCGTCCCACATTGTATACGTTACATGTTGCTGCACGTGCTGGCTATACAGGGTAGAGAGGAGAGAGCGCCTTGAAAGCAGGTGCTCGTGCAATAACCCCGAGGCGGTATAGAGTATACCTACGCCCATATCAACCGCACATGAACAAATACACGAGGGTAGCGTTTGCTTGATATTTCCAAGTCTGCTATGAAAAATTTCAACAGTCGGCCGTTTAATCGGAGTACAGCACGAGGTGTCTGTTCAACAAAAATCACGTACATCATACATGTTAAGTACTACGGTATAGTCGAATGTAATCCCAAAAAAACCGCACATATCAGAGTCAACAGAGAGACACACAAAGAGGTAGTGTATGCGTTTGTGGTTGTAGGAGTTATCTGTTTATCAGCAGCGCGAAATCCGAGCGCGTATTTATAGCCGATGCACGCACGAAACGAGGAGCATTATTTTAAAAAAATGTACAAATGACTCCCCGATATACCTACTGCTCTTCGTTTTTTTATTTTGTTCGGCTCATTTTTTTTTTTTTTCCACCAAAGCGATGGTGATAATACCTGTATCCATCATAGCTCGTAACGTATACAACATCCGTCCTGATGTATCGTAACGGCAGACAATATGTCACGAGGAATTATAGTCGTCGCGCATCCCATTCCAGAACCTATTCACGAGCAATTATTAATGAAGTGTGACATTGTCACGCGAAGCTTTGCGCCGTGGTATATATTGTTCCCTATATATTATACGATCGGAGGATAATATATAGGGGGTGAAATTAATGATATTTGGTTGTAAGAGAAAAAGAGCCCATTGGCGAAAAAAAAAAAAAAAAAAAACAACAACGATGTAACTATATACTAGGTATATGCGTACGATGATAATGGTAATAATAACGTGTAGTGTACTTACGTAATGACGTCAGCTGCCCCGTGAAGAAAGTCCGAGCAGCCGGCCTGGGTGCGAAGAATAGTAACCCTCGTGGCGCGGCACGACTAATATATCTATTGCTTCTGGTACCGGACGACGAGGGGAAGCCTTTCAGACATAGACGACGCCCGTACTCGTTTAGCGTACATATGTCTGTATGATAATAATAATATTATTATTATTATTATTATTCACCGCCTCGTCCTCGGTCTCGCGTAAAAATTATCACGCAGGCGCATGTGTATTGTTATAGTCACACGCGTATCTATCGCCGTCGTCGATGCTGTTACTCTTCTTCCTCTTTGGCCCGACGCGCACATGTGTGTCGATGATGATGATGATGATGCCAACACGTGCATATGTGTACTTTTTTTTTTTTTTACTTCAATTTATTGTAATTTTATAATTTTATTGTGTATTTTTTCCTGCGCGCGCGTTATTTTTCTTTTACTCGTTACTAGTTTCACTACATCCACTTTCTTTTCGTTTTATTTTTTTTCATTTTACCGCTCACTATTTTATTCTTTATCATCGGCCGAGGCCAACCGTATTCTTCTTCTTCTTTTGTCACTGCACTTGGCCTCGCACACGGACTTTCTTTTTATCTCTTTTTTTTTTTTTTTTTTACTATTATTATTTACACACAAATCGCGCACTGTACACTTTCGTACACTGTACTTCTTGTTATTATCTTCGACTTGGCTGCTCCGCTGGTTTATTTTTCACACTCCCAATCGGGCGGGGCCGTCCTCTTGATTTCAGCTGTTGGAAAAAAAAATAAAGACAGAGATTGTAGTCACTGGTGTATATAATCAACGGTTCGTCGCCTCGAATGGAAATCCATCGACGCAAAAAACCTTTCGAGGATTTTTTGTGTCGATGAAAACCAAGGCGCGATAAATGAAAATTTTTTGTCTTTTAAAGTAACTCAAAGAGGAATGCGAGTTTTTATTTCTATGTATACAAGAACGGATTGCTGCGTGTTGTTTTTGGCGGGGCTCGAACGTAGATACGGCGATAAAGCCTATCAGCAATGAATCGGAGCTTGATCGTTTGCAATGCTCTGGAGGTAAGGTTCTGTTATTTTTTATTCTCAGAGTTAGCGAACGAAATTATTTTTCACGTCGGTGCCTAGATTACTCTTCCGGAAAAAAAAAAAAAAACTTCAGCACCTGCGGATGTTTACTCAACAAGCCACCTCTACAATATTATTTATACGGAGGGGTATCGCAAGTTTTAGGGGAGCCTCGAGTACATTCTCGACGAGTTTTCAGAAGGCAAGTGCCTACTTACTTTCCCCGCATTTTCTGTACCACGCTATACACCACCGAGTCGTATACCCGGTTTAAAGTACACGAGAAGAGAGTGAGAGAGAAAAAAAAAAGGAAGAGGAAAAAACACCCCAAGACTCTCGAGATGAAATTCGGTCTAAAATATTCAACGCTACGGACGCCGACGGCCGACGACTGCGACGGGAATAGTTTTTTTTACAGGTCAATGAATTTCGTTTCAGATTTGACGCGACGTTTGATTAAAGGCAACGCGGAAGCTCGTACCTATATACATTACACACACCAAAGCGCTTCCTCTCTCGTATATATACGCATTCAACAGCGAAGAGAGCGACTATACACGAAAAACCTCGAGCCACGTCAGTCGAGTTGTTTTTTTTTTTTTTTGTTAGTTCAGCGTTGAGTCGGTCGCGATATCTTTTCGAGATTACCAGCATACACTGCGAGATGTTGTTTATTTAAACAGCGTATCGCGAATTATATAATTTACGAATATCCCTCGCAACGAAACAAATTAACGTGCACCCACAACGACAAAAGAGCACGAGCCGCGTTGTTTTGTCTTTTTTTGTTAATAGAGGTGCTAAAAATACGCGATTTACAGCTGCATTATCTCCCAAGTGAGATTATTTTCGCGAACAAATGACACATGTATTGTGCGTAATGTTATAGTACACGCGGCGCAAATATATATACGTACACATTGATATGAATAGCCGGAGGCGATTAAAATCGTAAAAAAGGTCGTCGCGACAGAAGAAAAACACTCGAAAAGCTCTCCGTGAGAGGAAGAGGAGGAGAAGGAGAAAGAAAAGGAAAATATAAGGAACACACGAGCGAGCGGCGGTATTTCGTTATCGCCTCTTGCACAATGCGAGTTTCTCGTGGAAGGTCAACGCGTGACTCTCGCAAAGGACGCGTTTCACTTTGGCGCGCGTTTATTGCACGCGTGAATTACCTCCCTCCTCCCACTTGATCAAGACTCGGGGAAAAAAAAGAAAAAAATTCATAGTATTGGTTTAGAAATTGCACTTATGAGCGAAGAAATAATTATTATTCGATTCGCGAGATGGAAAAAGCTAATATACAGGTAAGTGAAAAAAAGTCGTCGTTCGTCGTCACAGCACCTCTGCAAGCAAATCGCGAGATTTGCGTTTTCCGCAGCTGGGGACCTCATCATCGCCATCCCGCCGCGGTAGACGACGCTAGCACGAGTCCCGGCTTTGTCATCGCCGAGCTCCCCTTCACACACACACATATATATATATATACTACGTTATATTGTACACTGTTTTCTTTAGCGTATACGTCTCTCTCTCTTGCTCTCTGTATTATTCTTTTTTTTAAATTTTTTTCCTCGTCACTTCTTCGGTGTGTCGCTGTATCGTTTAGCGCCTCCTTTCGCTGGTGTAGGTGCCCAGATCACAGACAAGGTGACGAGCGATGGGATCTGCAAAAAAACAAAAACAGACGAACGAGCGCTTTAGAAATTTTGAACGAGTATTATCATCATCATTATTTATGCGTTATATCGCAGTGTACGTGTAATTGTTTGCGTTTTGTGTCGAATAATGTTGCCCCCCCCCGCAGCAGCAGCAGTTCTGGTGAAATATCCCTCATTGTTCGGAAAAACGGAAACTTGGTGAATTTTGCGTGAAAAAAATTTTGCCCTCTCCAACCGTGCAACAAACACTGCGTACGTTACTACGCATATTCTGGAAGAAATGGTGCTAAAAATAACGGAGCGAAATTCCGCACAAGCGCTTTACGCAAACAGATTTCGTCACGATGAATATCTGCGTTGCGTGGCGCTGTATTTACCTAACGCGATAGCTCTAGAGTTTAACTTGTAAAAAAAAAAAAAAAAAAAAGAAAAAACGTAGGCATGTAAGCAAAAACAATAATTTGGTTAATTACAGCTCTAAACACGTGCACCCTTAAATGACACCATTTTCTTGTACTTAACGAGTCATTCCCTTTGAGGCAATTTCCCATTGAACGCTGAAGAACCCAGAGCATCAATATTCTATCGGGAAAAATCAAAGCACGAAAGAAGAGCGATGATACTTCTCAACGCGCTGGTAGAAAAAAGGGAGACCGATTCCATTCAACTCCGTGTACCGGCACCTTGTCCAATTGAGCCGCAACGTGTCCAACGCCGAGAGGAAAACTCTCTATTTATAATTTTCTGGCGTCTATTTTGGCCGACGCTCGAGGAGCGGCCGATGCGCCCTGCGATATGCCGGCCATCTGGTCTCTCTCTCTCTCGTGTGTGTACACGCGCGATTGGGTGGGTGACATCTGCGCTCGGAGCCCCAAGTTGTTGGCGGGGGATGTATGTGTATAACATGGCATACTCGTCCGACGGAAATAGTACAACAGCGGCTGACGCTTCGAGGAATGATCGAAGAGCCCGATGCTGCGCGCACATTGGCGTGTTTTGACGATAATTTTGCTCCCCCCCATACCCCGCATCAAGTGAATTTATTCGCGACGAGAGGAATTTCAGAGCGTACGAGTGAAGTGTGTCGTGTTTCATTGTTGGGAACTATAAATAGACGCGTTCGAATGATTCACGCACGGGTGTGTACGTATTGTTGATTCCAGGGAGGAAAACAGATCAATCACAAGTGAATTTACAAAAAGTGAAAATAAGGGACGGAAACGTGCGCTAACCGCGATGATTTTATCCGTCGCACTTACTTTCCCTCTCTCGGTATATAAGCGGCGTTTTGAAATGTTGTTAACGAATATCGCCAAGACACGGGACAGCGCAACGAGGCTCGTTATTACGCTGGAGTTGCTCGAACGATACGGTGGGACCTTGTCCCCCTCCGCGAACGACATCGTGACCGTCGTCGTTTCCAAGTTATATTATATGTACATAATATGCGCGTGACGCGGAACCACAGTTTATTGTACACCTCGTTTATATACTGCCTTTATATATTTCGAACTGGAGAAGGTTATTGATACAATTTTCATTTTTTTACATGACATTCGGCGAACTTTGAAGAATTAACGTAGTCCCTTCCCGCTTGTAACTGTATTTGTTGCACATTGTTTAAGGCGAGCCAACACTTTTTTCACGTAAAAAACCGATGTTCTCATTCTTATTGTAGCCCCTAATGAGGAAGGATTATTCGCACGCATATCTTGACGCGCCATGTGTCGGGCTTCGGTTCTCGCGTCTCCTCTTTCTCACGAGAAACCCGCGGATTCTTTATATCTAGTGTACGGTGGAAGCATGGGAGTTCGGGTTGGGATTCACCGAATGGAGAGGCTATCGTGCGACTTGTTCTTTTCTGTTTTCCTTCGTTCATCACGAAACTAAAATTGTTGGCTAATAACGATTTATCGGAAAACGCCAGTGAGTCGATCCGATTGGAGGATGTTGATTTTTTTCTCTCGCGGTTGTGCAAACTACGTTATTTAATGGTTATCATAAAACGCAAGTTTTTCAAACATGCACCTTCCGAAATCCATTTCAAAGGATTTCACGTATTGCGCGTAAATCGTATCTGAGCTCAACGAAATAAATAAATTAATTAACGAGGCAAGTTTTCTCGTTTCGTCGCTAAGCTCCATTTTATTAACGTGTGCATAATGTTACATTACAGAATTGTATATACGTATATATTTAAATGTGTCCCACAGCAAGTTGTACAACAACAACACTAAAGCCGGCTTGTTTCCTCAATAAATTAATATGGGTATAAGAGCGGTTGCTGATAATATTATGTACAGGTCCCAGAAACAGATACCGCCGAGTCACTTGGACCAGTTTGGTTGTTGTTGGGGACTGGGATTGCGCTAGATCGGACGTAAGTTGCATTATAAATTGATTTCAACTATTTTTGTCTGATTGGAAAAAAAGCTTTATTCTCCCCTAAGGTATATATACTATCGAAAATTTTTCAACAGCCCGAAACTTTGAAGAGAAAAGATACGCGTGAATACCACCAACAACTTTTTGATGTATAGATGGCAAAAATACATATATAAAACGTTATAAGCCCGAGAGATACTAAGTATACCCTAAACCAATTAACATATTGATTATCGGTTGTATCGATAAATCGAGGCGCTCTAAAAATAAACCCCTACCCGATTCTCGACCCCCGTACACGTACACCTGCGACCATCAACTATTTCCAAATTTTTTTTTTTTTTGGGCTATGACTTTTTTTACACGTTTCATATATAGTTTTCGATTCTTTAACTATTCTATACGGGTATATATTATTATAGGCACACGTATACGTACGACCCTCGAGTCGATTATACTCATTCTATACTCAAAAATACACGCGTAGATTAAAGGAACAGACTAGCAAAAGAGAGAGGGAGAGAGAGAGAGATAAAAGGCCAATGGGCTTTTTATGCTAATGAGTCGGCCGGCCACGTTGACTGTGTATACGTGTGCGAAAGAGTCGTCCCCGGCGATAACCCACGGAGGCGCGCACTATATCCGTGCCGGCTGACGCAACTCGGCCGCGGGCGATGCTTTCGATGCGGCGTCGTCGCCGCGCGAGGATATAGAGAAAAGATCTCGCGAGAAATCGAGGGGGCCGCACAACAATACAGCGTCACGATCGGCCGAAGGTCCTTCAATGTCGGCTTTCAATGCCTCTCCTACACCGCTGTACTATTTATTATACCTTTACGTGTACACCTACACCGTTGCCGTTGCATGCAAACTATAGTCGGCCGTCAGTGTACATATACCTACTATGTCAAATATCGGCTCCCCAGGCGTTTTTCCGGTAATATAAACGTTAAACGCGATTATTTCACGCGCGAAGCGAAGCGTCGACCTGTGGGTTTTTTTTTTTTTTTTTTTTTTTTTTTTTTTTTTTTTTTTTTTCAAATTAACTCGTCGAGAGGTGACAATAGGAATAAATTGCCTGGCCTAAACGAGAATTTAAAAAAAAGGTGCGATGACACCTCTGCGACACGCGTCATATAACCGTGTGTATTTTTGTAAGATAATGAAACTTTTGTAAACGTATACTCGAGAAGTCAAAAAAAAAAGGACGCCTACGCTGCGGTTTTAGAATATTGCAGAGTTGGAGTAAAAAAAAAAAATGTGATTTTCGCGTAAAAACACACCGATCGTAAATTTATATTGGTAAGTAGCAGCATAATGTTCAGCATTTGCGTATTTATAAGCGTGGGGTATCAAATTCTCGAGTTTATTCCGTATGCACCACCGCATTTAAATGGATGATATTTTTACAGCTACCGAATAATGGAAGTAAATAAATAAAAGAACATGTGAAAAATCCAACTCTAATAACTAAACACAGGGTGAAAAAAAAAAAAAAAAAAAAATGCGTCCTCTCTCTCTTTCCACAGATTCAAATATACGATGATAAAAAAAACCCACTGTACAGCCCCCCCGCCCCACATCCTTTTTCCGTCCGGCACTCCCAGACTCCACCAGCAGATCCCCTACCCCCCCCCCCCACTATATAAGTACGAACAATAAAGCAGCGGCAGCTATGCAACCGATGCACCGACACTCTATCCTCCACCGACAAACAAATTCAAAACATTCGCTTCGGAGGCAGCGAGCGCTCGCGTTAATCTGTCTAATATCGGGTGAGCTCGTGACAACGCAGAGCGCGTCGAATGACCTCCTCTTCCATACGCTAACCCCACATACAAGTATACAATATGACCAACCCGACGAAGGAGCAGCTACATATACTGTACACCATCACTGATGCATATCATACGTACACCGTCTGAAATGTATATATATATATATATATATATATCATCTCGATCTTTAATTAAAACGCGTAGAAGTTGAAAGCGGGAGAAAGAAAGATAGGGAGGCTCATTGTGTGTAGCAATCGCGCGCGATCGGAAAATCGCTATTGTCCCGCAGGAGAGAGAAAAGGTATACTTATATAAGGCCCTCCCGAGGAATTGAGGTTCGGCTGGATGAAAACGAGTGCGTCCATATAGTGTCCTATTGAACGCGCGATACAACGGACTCGCCGTTATAGTACACGGTATAGGTGTATAGGTTGCTCGGTATCGGCGGCGGTGATTAAAATTAATTAAAATTTACGCCGCGGCGCGCAAACTCTGATGCTCAATAAATATTAAAGATAAGCGCGGATATACTACACCGAGCTTCTCCTTCTTTGTGTAAAGTGTTCACGTTGGCACACGTGAAAGAAAGAAAGAGGAAAAAAACACACACACACACAATCGAGATTCAAGAGAACGTATCGATGCACGTACAGAAGGTTTTTTCTCTTATCTCTCGTATCGCTCGTGTATTTTTTGTTCAAGTATTCACGAAAAAAAAAATATTAAATTTTTAAGAAAAGCATAGGTACAACCGAAAAAAAAAATATATATATATATATGTACATGGAGCCTCGCACGTCCCGGGAATAGAAAGAAATAATACACATCGGGCGAGTCGAGTATAGATACATACACCTACACTCTTGCTCTTCTTTACGTGTACCTACTACATCTCTGGTTTTTTTTTTTTTTCCGCTTTGCTCGGCTCACGTGTTCCCGCGCGGGCATATGGACGACATTCGGTACGAGATACTCCGACGCCGAAGAAAGAGCGCAGACACACATGTATATGTACCTATGCGAGAAGAATATTTCGAGAGTCCGTCCAAACATACACGCACGTCAGGAGACCATCATGTTGCTCATGTATATATGGCTTCTGACTTTGGGGGTGTGGTGGAGTGTACAACAACACGAACACGGGATCTAAACAATAATATGCAGGGCGTGTGAAAAAAAAAAGTGCGCCCGCGAGGAAGTCCAAGTGGTAAAAAAATGAAAAAAAAAAAAAAAAAAAAAAAAAAACAATTATAACATTTTCTGAGGATGGGCCGTCCGCCGGGTGAGTCCATACTAGTATACAGCAACAATTGTGGCCAAAATTAATGCCCGAGTATCGAAAGCAGCGAAATTTTCAAAAATTCCTTGCCACGCAAGCAACAGGTTTTAAATACAAATTGTTGAGCTAAAATTAATATCAAAGGCACTTAGTAGCAGAGATATAACTTTATCTATAATACGTATACCTCTATAAGACACGTCAAATAAGCTGCAGCAACAACAACATCGTATCACTTTAATTGAATTAGATTCCAAGTGAGAGTAACAACAAAAACCAATTGTGAGATTGGGAGTGTGGATATAGCATGTAATGGAACGGAGGAGATATTTGTGTGGCGTATTTACAATACCACGCTGAGTAGAGTGTGTTTTATGTGAAGCTCGAGAATGTCGTATGTGTGTTGGTGACGATAAAACACGTGACAAGATGAAAAAAAAGGAAAAAAAGTAACACACACTCAGACGCCAGTCGCATCTTTTTCACGCACGCGAGCGTTTCGCACAACACGCGGATAGCGTGAAATGTTTGATAAAAGCAACGCAAAGTGTGCCAATCTATCGTCGACGCATTTTTCCTATCCTGGACACGGAAATATTTATATAGCGACTGCTTTCACAGGAATTTTTTCAATACACGAAAGATTTTGCAATATAATCGACGCGTATAGTTCTTTGGGAAAGTGCTTATGAGTTGACTGACATTGTCATCTAATGATTTGCGCAGCTTTACTGCAGATGGTATTGTTTTTTCGTCACCCAGATCGGTAGTCATTTTTTTTTTTTAGTTTTCCGGTACCGTTGGTGATAAACGAATAAATGGGGAGGACTGAAAAAAACACGTTGCCATACAAATTACATTTGGTATAATGATGAAAACGAGTACCAATAATATCCGAAGCAATAGCTATTAGGTTCGTTAGGTATCCCGAGAAATCCGATATGATAATAGAACGATCATCTTTCACATTGTGCCATCAGCAAAAAACTCGGGGTAAAGAGACTGGAAAGTGCACGCACGAACTTTTCGTAGTTCCAATATTTCAAGAACGTATAAAAAAAAGAGAGAGACTTTCAACTAATGTTTACACTTGCTCGTACGATTTTAAATTGGTTTTTAGGGAAATTATGATCATTTTTTATACGGTAATTGATAAATGGCTTTTTTGAGTTATTGAACTCTGATTTGATTCGAAAAAAAAAAACTAACGATCGCTTACTATCGCGAATTATCACCACGCCAATGATTTGAAAATCTTCTTAAAGTTTTTTCGAGTCTTCGAAGTACCATTTTAGCGAGGGGCTACCGTGCGCTCTTGTAATCGTTGAAAAAAACTGAAAAATACTGCGGAAGTTGTTTAAATCCATTCACAGACTGGAAAAGTCCCGAACGGACATTGGACTTTCTATCGAGAGTGGGCAGCCCCTCGCAATTTAGATAGACATGGCAAAAGCTGACGACAATTTTTTTACTCCCATGTTTTCGTGATAAAATCAACATTCAACGGCCGAGAAAATTTTACCCAAAGATCTGCCCTTTAAATTTAAATGTAGCGAAAAGTGAGCCTATTTAAAAATATGTTCTGTCAAAGAGAGACTTTATTGTGACTCTAATGAAAAGAGTACTTTTTCACACTCGCAAATAGAGGAGTGAAATATCAAGTATTAATTTAAACTCGAGTATAACTCTATTTTTGCTCCATTTAATTTAGACGGGCCACTAGCTTTGGCGAGCTCATCTTTCTTTCACTCAAACGTCACTCTACCATTAAACTAACCGTCTGTTAATGAAAACTCAAATGAAGGAATATACAGTAACGAAATTTTTCACCATCGATGCATTAACTTATCGAATAAAGAAAAAAAAAAAAAAAAAAGCGAACAAAAAAGTACATGTACACTCTGTATAGTCGGGCAGCTCGAGCGAGGCTCGAGAGCGCCAACACGAGTCACGAGTCCCTCGCGCGCGCGGCGAAAACGCCGAAATTTGAAAAAATCACTAGACACCCTTCCAGCCGGAATATCCGCGCGAAAAGTAGATTTAATTGACGGGCACGGCACCTAATTTGCGAATTTTGTAGTCCCGCCGCGCCAATCCCGCTATTACCCAACCTTCTATTTATATACCGCGGCACTTGAACTTTTCCGAGCTGCCACGTACGTACGTAATCACGTATACACACTACATTTAATTGCGAGGCCCAGCAAAACCCATACACAGTAGAGTTTTTTTTCTTTAAATCTCACATACATTTTATCATCACATATTGGTACGCACGTACACACTTTGAGCTACACGTCACTTTAAATTTACCTACACGTACATATTATATATATATGTATATTTATATATCCCACTCGATGCGACGTACAACTCTGTACTCCACTACACAGTCGATGATGCTGATGCACTAGCAGTACTATCTACTTTTTATTTTTTTTATTTTTCCTCCATCACTTTTGACCGCACCAACGTTAAAACACTTTGGTCCACGGGTTCGATGAGAGTTTATTTTTCACTTTACGAGCGCAACAGCGCAGCACACACAAGCCAGCGACCGCGAGAAAGAAGCACGAAATGGCGGCAGCCGTAGGCTCTCCGTGTGAGCGCGCGTGTGTGTGTGTGTGCAAGTGTATGAGTGCCGTATTCGCTCGAGAGCTGAGGCCACTATATGCACGAGACGACGACCAAGTCGACGAGAACGGCTGGTTCTGGCTCGGCTTGTTGGCTTGCCAGAGAATAACACACAAACTCACGTACGTACGTACACACACACGCGCGCGCGCGCGCGATCTGGCTCCTCTTCTTGATGCCTTCGATGTTAATGCTCTTTGCTGAACTCCGGAATTAGCGGCTTCTCCACTTCAATCTGGAGCGATAACTGCGGCGGGTGTATGGTTACAATCACCGATTCTCCTGGGCCAACAGACGGTGCAGGTGCGCACTAGGCTGTTTTTACTTATTTGGACGACGCGTGCATATAAATACACGTATACGCATTAACCATACGGTACGTGGAAGCGACTTTAATGTTTACTACAACCGTATACGAGCGCAGCTTCTGCGCCGCGATGATAAATCACGCGCGTCACGGTCTCCCCGATGATGCGAGGAATTTTTTCTCTCTCTCTCTCTCTCCTTGTCTGCTATCGATCCACGCCAGCGAGCGGTTCAAGCACTGGTACACTTTTTTTTTTTCTTTCTTCGTTATCTTCACTTTTCAATTATCACGATCGCGCACAGTTTTTGGCACAACGTTGGCAAGCGCTTTATTTATTTTTTTGTTATCACTCCGGGATCGTCGAAGCAGCGTCGTATACCTTTAAGATTTCACGCGCACTCGATCACCTCACATTCGGCGTCCTTTTTTCGCACTTATCGCGCAAACATATGCTGGCTGTGTCTGTTCTCGCACCATCAACACACCTCAAATTGGTCCAACATCAATATGGCACTGGATCACTGTGATGCATGGGGTTGGAACGGAATCACCGAAATTTCACTTTGTCGGCACTGTCTCGCACTGCATCACTTTCGGAGCACGGCAACCGGCAGCAGCCGCGCACAGTAGTCACCGCGCGCTAAACCGGCTTATTTTGAAAAAATCAGCAGAGCCACTTCCCGTGGGAATTTTCGCGCGAAAAGTAGATTTAATTGCCGAGGGTGCACTGAAATTTCACGATTCGCGCGTCACTAGCCGGAAAATCCATTTCCTCGGCTTTTTCCACCATCACGGGTCACACCTCCAACAGGACTTTTGTAGATCCGCATGGCCCCGTCTTTTGCGTTGATCAAGTCCTTCCTCGGATGGTCAGGGTGGCCTGGAAAATCTTAAGCACACGATACACCGAGGAAAATTCACTTTTGTTCACTGGGACTCCTGCGCCATAATGTGTCATGGTACACCACGATGTATCTGATATACGAACATCTATGTTGAGCAAAACTTACCCCCCCCCCCACACACACACACATTTGCTGGCCACCGCAATTCATCCCCAAAAGCCTAAACCCCAGACTAACCCGGAGTGACCTGGAAAATCGTACTAAAAACCCGATGTATAGCATTGAGAAGAAATAAAAAGCAAAATAAATTCAGCAAAGACAAACCTCAACTGTATAGACAGCTCTCGGAGCCACACGTTGATAACGCGCGCCTCGACGATGACGACGACGACGACGACGACGACGACCTCGAAACGAAGGACGCGCTTAGTTGTGTGCTATCCTCCCCCCCTCCGCCGCCACCTCGTCCTCCCCCTTATGCTGTTGCCCGCTGGCTGTGTATATACACAGAACACGTACATACACACATATAAATATATATATATATTTATATGTATATATATGTATATACACGTGTGTGTATATCACACACTGTGTGGCATAGCAGCAGAGCAGAGTTCGAGAGTTCCCCAAAAGCTTTCTCTCTGTCTATCTCTTTATATAATGTACGAGCGAACAAAGACAAACGACACATGCACACAGCCCAAGTATTTTGGAGCTCGAGAGAGATAGAGAGTGAGCGCCGAGAACCACCCCAAAGACGCCGGTGCGAATGAAAAAAGAAGAGAAAAGAGGAGGAAAGGAAAAAGAAAAAAAAAAAAAAACAAAAGCATCAAAATTACCTATTTTTTTTGTTCAGCTGCACTGCAGACGAGGGGAGCAGTTGGGGTATAGGCACACGAAACAACAACACAACACCACGTCGCACTTACACGCATGTAACACAAAACGAAAGAATTAAAGTGTATATATAGAAGAAGGTCCGGGGGCCCCCGTGTGCCCCATGCGATATGTGGTGGAGGAGAGCCGTGGGTATACACACAGACAGACGCGACGGAGAGCAGCGCTGGCGGCGCCTCGCACGAGTCACTCGCCAGCGATTCTTCTCTCTTTCTCTCGCGCTCTACTCCCCCCGCGCTGCTGCCCCGATCGCCCCCCTTACCGCCCAACCACCACCCCCCCGCAACATGTACAGAGGAGGCGCTTGTATAGGTAACCCGGGCGCACACGCGCGCAACCCTACACACACTCTCTTGTATATACAGCATACATATATATATATATATATATATATTATGTACATACCTCTTGTACACACACACAGCAGTAGCAGGCGCGCGCATATACATATGTATCTTCGTATAGGTATGTACGCGTGTGTACGTGTGTGAAGTAGCGGCGGCGACGGCGGCGACTGAACCATAGCGAGCGGCGGAGCACCGTTCGTTACAAAACGCGAACACACGCCGAGGAGAAGTTCTCTTCTCCGCATCGGAGAACGAAAGAGAAGAAGAAGAAGAAGAGAGAGAGAGCGTCCGGAGAAACGAGTTTCTCCTTATTCCTTTTTTTTTTTTTTTTTTTTTCTTTGCTCCTTCTCCTCCTACTACGGTCCTCGGTTCAAAAGAGGCGATATATACAACATGTACACAGTGGAGCTTCGGATGATGCTGGGAGACCGCGCGGGAGATCGCACTCGGGGCTCCTCCTCGACTCCGTTTTTGTTAAGTATACAGTCTCCGGAGCCTACACTCTGCGTCCATAGTATTTTTACAGTAATTTTCGAGTGAAATTTTTTTTCAGGCGCTTCTCTCCCTTGTTTTTTTTTTTTTTTTATTACTCGGTGACCCCTATATTTTTTTTTTATAAAAAAAAAAAAAAAAAAAAAAAAAAAAAAAAAAAAGCGAACAAAAAAGTACATGTACACTCTGTATAGTCGGGCAGCTCGAGCGAGGCTCGAGAGCGCCAACACGAGTCACGAGTCCCTCGCGCGCGCGGCGAAAACGCCGAAATTTGAAAAAATCACTAGACACCCTTCCAGCCGGNAAAAAAAAAAAAAAAAAAAATTCGAACCAAACGATCGATGGTTGTGAGAGGGGGGGGGACTCGAGATGAGTTGTTGATGTATGTGCCCGGGGGAGGAGGCTGCGCATACCAGTATACATGTTGCGAGTGCGGGAAATATCGCGGCCGGTAATGCTCGTCGATTTTTCATCGTTTATGCTATCGGGTTTCCTCTCCCGCCTCGGAGAGCGTGGTGAAGAAAAAAAAAAAAAATATATTTGTACGTACGTACATGTTTCGGGGGTAAATCAGAAATCGAATGGTTTACGGGGCGAGGAAAATGGGCGTGCGAATTAAAGCTGAATATCACTTAAAGCTGCGCAGGGGAAGCTATACGATTTTTTATACGCAAATGATAAGAAGAATCGGTGAAAAAACCGGGGGAGCTGCTGAAACATTTGTCCCGACTCATTCACATGAAAAATACTCTGTGCTGTTACAAAAAAAGAGGGCCTCTATATATATTATATTCGCCATCGAAGCTGCAATACGGGAAATTGACAAACGACACGCCAACACCTACGGGTTCATTTTATTTCTCTCGAATAAAGAGTGAGACAGAGAGAGAGAGAGGATGCAATTTTCTTAGTCCCCCGGTATTTACCTGACTCCCATATAGACGTTTCCTGCGGGCTGAGCAGGCGCGAGAGGGGCAATCGATCGCCAGCACGAGCCTATACTTACCCCCTTGTTATACACATGGGTGCGAGCCCGGAGAAAATTTCTTTGGCAAAAATTCGGGCATGTATTTTTTTTTGGTATGTGCCCGCACCGAGAGCTTTATTTTTTGTTGCCATGGAAAACTTCGTTCCCTCCCTCTCCGGCCTGTACGTACACGAAAAGTCAGAAGGTCACGGGTATTCGATACCTGAAGTGAGTTTATCCGAATTTATTACAATAAAAAAAAATTAATTTTTAATGTTCGTCCAGGAGTGACTGGGATAGTTAATCTATAATTTACACGTCTGTTGACGTGTCACCTCAAACGTGATAATCCTCGTGAGCTTTTATCGGAAAGTAAAACGAACGATGGGTATATTATAACTGCAGGTATGCGCAACTGGGATGAAATGAAAGGAGGGAAAGGTAATGGAGGCGCATGTAAAAAATGTATGGTTTCCTGCAAAGGGGATACTCATGAGGGGTATTTGTGTGTACGGATGCCGACAGTCTCTCGTAAAAAAAAAAAAAAAATCTAAACTTTTTCGAGATGGGGATATTTTTTTTGGATCACTACTGCCACTGTTGCCGTTCAAATGGGCTGGTACCGTCTGGCCACGTTTCGGTGGCCCCTTTGCGTTTAATTGCTCGATCGTAAACTAGCAGGCTGTATACCAACGGAGCGTTAGATTTCCGCTTTGTCGTTCAGGCTATCCAGACGAAATTGTCGATTTGTAGCTACGAGGAATTGCAACTTCAATTCGGAAAAAGATTGTTTTTTTTTCGAGGCACACCTTTTTTCTTTGTTTTGCTGCTAGGAAAATGGAGAAAATTGAGTATAACGTGTAATGCACATTTTTTGGGGGATTCCGCAGTTGGAAATGGATGATTATTTTTACATGGAAGAAGTTGCAAAGTGCACCCAACACACGACTAGTATACTCGTAAAATATTAATCAAGTTAAACAAAAAAGTTTTCAACTCGTTTCAAAATACGTGCAAATTTGCGAGCGTGGATTATAGTTTTTAAAGCCATCGACGTAACTCACGCTCAAGCAAGTAAATAACAAAGTAGGTCACGGCGAGAGACACGTCGAACTCTATTGTTTAACACGATTAAAATATTTTTGCCAACCACGCGTTAATCGATCATACAAGGTATTTTTAATCACGAGCCCATAGCTCTGTAGTTGTCGATGTATAGATGTATTCA